ACGACCAAATTATACACACATAAAAATTACGAAAGTACCAATTGATTACAGTCATAACTGAAGCTAAAGAACCGGCGTAACAGCAACAACAACAACAATGGTAAGAACATCTCCAAGTCTTTTAACTGCATCGACACCCTTCCAGTGTGATTTGAACCGTTTTAAAGACGGATCCGGTGCCAAGAGCTGCAAAGTTAAAACAGCTAGTCCGGCACAAATGCACAACTGAACCGGTGAAATCAAAACACACATTTACCCTGCTGCTAACAAACATCATATTAGACAAAAAAGACTGTTAGATTTACTAACCGGCGAAAATTGTATGCTCGTGTACAAGATACACATGGTCGTCAAATTTTGTTCATTGAACACTTTACAAAAAAAATCTAACAGTAAAAAACTTTATACATCGTATTATATTATAAACTTTTGTTGATCATAGACAGATTGGAATTGAAGAAGAAGTGCAAAGTACAAGCAATGATATATAACGCATGACACAGGTAGTGCGTTTGGTTAGATTTAGATGTTTCCAAGGACACAAATTCTGCAGTTGATCTCTATTGTATTATGTTTACACTAAGTCTAGTTAGGGCATAGTTTACTCGACCATGACGGTATCAAATCCAGCACTCTAGTACTTAAGCATCTTTCTGCCGCAACATAGACAATAAGCCGTGTATAAACCATAAACATAATTACGGGGAGCTTAACATAGTTAAGTTTCCTCTAGGTCTTATGCCTCTGCCTCTGCCTCTGATATATCATTGCCTTGATTAAAAGTTTATAACTATTGTCATTTGTATATATTTCCCTTTTCTCTAACTCATTTTTGTTCCCGTTCCATTCAAAGACCAAGCAAATACTGTCTCTCTTGTAAGTTTCTATTGAGTTTGAAGATAATTAACAGAAAGAAGTGTAAGATTAAAAATTGGAGGCTTTGAATTTATAATCTCTTGCAAAACCGAAGCTCTTATACCATGTTAAACCACCACGGACCTTTAAATCTCAAGTCATGACGGAATAAGTCAATAATATATATTAAGCTAATATCCGGTTATGTTTACATATTTAATTGACCACATTGTTGGTCGAAATATTTGACAAAAACTATATATATTTGTATAGATGAGTTTACCTCTATGAAAAATATAATCAGTGCATGTGGAGAAAATTGATTTGTCCGTTCAATTATATGAATGTGGAAAGACTTGAGCTTGGTCTACCTAGAGCACAAGAATTTCAATGTCCAAACAATGGCCAACTGTGTAACTTGGGTTGTTGGTAATGGAAATGTTTACCTTTGTACCAAAAAAAATAAAAAAAGATAAAAAAAAAAACAATGGCCACAAATAATTTAAAATTTTGAGGGCTTGTTTGGTACTTTACTTGAATCTAACTTTTTAAACTTAAAAATACTTTTCAAGTTTTAGGCCTTCAAAACTTGTTTAGTACCACTATTTTCAAAAACTGAATTTCTCTAAAAACACTAAAAATGAGTTTTTAGAGCTTTTATACTTAAAACTCACTCTTTTCTTATCTCTCCTCCCCTCCCACTCTAGATCTATCTCTTTCTCTTATTTTTTCTTTCTCTCTCACCTGATCCGCTCTCTTCATTTTCTCTCTTCTTTTTTTTTCTTTTTCTTTTGTTTCCTCCCTTTTCTATATCTCCCCCAATCCTCTCTTTGTTTTCTTTTCTCTCTTCCTTCTCCCCCTTCTCCGACCACCTCTCTTTCTAATTTCTTTGTCCAGTTTAAGTTTAAGATTTAAAAACAATTTTAAATATCATACCAAACAAGTTTTAGAGTTTTTTGAAATTTTTTTTCAAGAAATCTTCTTAGAAATGTCTTGAGAAATGATGAATTTTTTTTAATAGAATACCAAACAATCCCTAAGATTTTTTGGTGGGTTGTTATGCTAAATAATAGTTCATTAATTTTTGTGTATACACGGATTGTAAATTGCATATGTAAGATTATGAATTTAGATTCAAGCTTTATCTGATATAGACTTATAGTGCAATGCATGACAACTCATTAACAAGTATCAATTAATTAAAATTACCCATACAATGCACGACCAGACGGCTTAAGATTGTAAATGTGACCCTTACACGCATGCTAATTACGCTATTAACAGAATTACTAATTACATCTCATGTCTGTAGAACTCATCATAAATACATCATGCATCACGAGGAAGAAATTCTTGAATACAACACCACATCTATTATAATATTTAATTTCTTGACCATCATAAGAGTTGATTATTTCAAAAATGAATATGCATATACACGTGTTGTATGCAAGAAATTTGTCTAAAAAATGCATTTGGAATATAGCAAGTAAATGTGAAATATGATATAGATGCATTTCTCAAAGTGAAAATGGTAATGCATATCAATTACAACATCGAACGTTTGATTAACCAAATATGGTTCTGTCCATCTAGTAATTTGCAGTAATTGTGAAAAAGTGTCAATTTCGAAAATACTATAGAGCTACAACCATGATGGTGTGGCTCAGTAGTTGAAGACGAATTTCAGGATCGTATTCTACACATCACGTCCTTAGTTCGATTCTTGAAGTTGATGAATCACACGATAGTGGTCAGGAGGAGGATGAAATGCCACTGTGAGTTTTTCCGGCCCCCAACATAATGGACTGCAGTGACGAAGCCATCAATTGGTTCTTGTTTAAGAGAAGAAAGAAAATACTAGAGCTGCATAATTAGCAACCACTAATGTTGGACCAATTCATGACTTTCTAGGTATATTGTATAAATGTTCCAAAGTGAATTCATCTTTATTAATTATAGTGACATATAAGCCATTTTAAGATATGAACACCACCTTCTGTAAGGTGAAACAATGTACAGAATCACACCAAAAGTCCAAAACAAGGTATGAAAAGAACCATGTGCATGATTTCGCTTTAAATATAATTTTCTTATAATTAAAAATTAATTAATCCAAAGTTAATAAAATATGCGTGTGAGTGTATCCTAGTACCAACGACATAAAGGCACGAAAGCGCACGTTACATTGGTAGGGTGGTGCATGTCTGTTTTGCGGTTGGCGTGAGAAAAGTGCCAAGGGATATAAAAGTAAAAAATGATAGTATAGAAAGTTTGAGATCACAAGAAATCGTCAATGAAACAGTTGAGTCTTATCCTTTCTATTTTCTTCTACCCTAAATACAAAGCATCCTTCAATGCAAATGAATTATGAGTACTATACACAAATAACTAGCTATGGGATTTAACATTCTTTTGTGTGACAGATGTTTATATTGTTTAATCGTGAATTTAAACTATAGAATTTGACCAACATCAACCTAATATTACTGATTTAAATTTACCATTATGTAAACATTATAACATTGTATCTTTCGATATTGTTTGACGAAAGAAATTTCAGGAGCATGATGATATAAAACTTATGAAATTATATACAGTAAAACCTCTCTAAAGTTATACGGTTGAGACTGAACCAATTTTATAATTTTAAGGAGGTTATTGCTTAATGGAGATATAGCTTAAATTATTATTTATTTCTTTATTTACCATTAATGAATGTTGTATTTCTTAAATAGGATTCCTTGCAAATTTTTGTTATGTGAAAGTGTGTTTCCTTAAGATGAGACCAAGAAAAATTAAAACTTATTACAATATGGAGTTTATTCTAATACATAACTGAAATATTATTTATTGACTTATTTATCCTTAATGAATTATGTATTTCCTAAATAGGATTCCTTGGACGCTCCAAGGATTTAATTTGTTGCATATTTTGTACTTAGTGACAATTATAACTATGTAGAGGCGTGTTTCCTTAACATAAGGTCAAGAAAAATTATAACTTATTACAATATGAAGTTTATTCTAATACATAACCAGTCCAGAATCTTTTATGACTTTAAGAATGTTAGTCCATTATAAGGTATTACTTTAGAGACGTTTTACTTACAATGCTAATGTGAAAAATACAAGTTACCATATACACAACTAATATACCAATTCCTTTGCAAAACTAAATAACTGAATTTAGACACTTGAGTTAACTGTTGTCTTATTATTCTTTTGCTGACCTGGTCACAAAGTGAGAAGAGATGGTAAAAGCTTAAGCTGGAGAGGAACTAATAATTGTGTGATTAGACAAATCAATGTTTAGACTATTAGACTATTAGTAACCTGTTGCTTCATCTTTGTTGATTTTGCAATTAAATTAGGTGATTTGGAAAAAATTCTACATCTCTATCAGTACACAATGACCTTTACAAAACAGACCCCCTTTCCCCCCTCTAGTTTATGTGGAAATACACACCAAATTCCCAAACACTAACAAGTTGCTTTTGGAGATTTGTTAGATGCTTCTCTTAAATCTCACAAAGAAAACTTTATATGCTTAATTAATTTTCTTAAAAACAAAAAATAAGCATTGAACAGGAAAAAAAAAAGGTTGATTCTTGCAAATTGGGTTGATGAGGAAAACCTCCACTGGGTAGAGAAATCTCTTGACTTCATAAAGAAATGACTCCTTTGTTCTGGCCCTATATACTCAATGTTAGATGTCACAATTAAACAAATCAAAATCAAGATTCCATCTAAATGGAGTCAACTGAAAGAAAGGATCTGAATTTGACAATGCGCAGCTGGTAAATTATCTACAAAAGTTGGAAAACATTGTATGGAATATGTTTAATAGACCAATAAATTTGAAATAAATTATATGCGAGGAATCATTTCTAATCATTTTGTTTTTGTCCAGATCTTTTATTTTAAATCTCGACAAAATATATATGACATGTTTTAGTCTAGATAAACAACTTAACTGTATATTAATGTGATATAAATCCTGTAAATTTGATATCCCTCCATCCAGAAGGGCACCTACATTTGAGATTTGATTACCAAAGGCTTAATTTGAAACTTTAAACTTATGGAATCAAACAATTGAATTCTAACAAGAAAATTAATGGAAGAGAAAGTAGGGAAACTAATTTAACCAAAAAGAAACACTGTATGTATGCAGAAGTCCTGCAGATTCTTTACATCATCTTCCTCCCAATAGGACCATTTGGATATTGGAAATCTCCTTCCACTAAAGCAAAAACCTTGAGAAGACCATATCATCATGCTTTTTTACAAGAGGAAAATTAACCCAAAAAGCCAATGGGAATGGACCCCACTTTGATCAAACTGGAAAGAGCAGTAGGGTATCTAAGACTAAAGGACAAGAACTAACTGAACTATCCAAAAACCCTTAAAAAAATATCGGCTAGCCAGAGACTGAGAGGAGAAGATAGAAAACCTCAGATTCTTCAGCTGGCTAGCTAATTAGTAACTGAATTATAAGAAGAAGTTGAACATCCAGCTGCTGCTGCCCCACCATACTGATAACCTGTACCTGCACCTTCCTGGTTATCCTCCTCCATTGGTGGAAGCTCATTTAGGTCAAAGTTCAAAACTTTTCCCCCACCACCACCACCTACTATAGTCTGACTGGAATGAGCTTGCAGCTGCTGCTGTAGCTGCTCAGAAGGACCCACCACCACCACCTGCTGCTGCTGCTGCTGCTCAGTGGGGCCAGTCCAGTGGCACCTCTTATGACCCCCCAAAGCCTGACCTGTTGGGAAGGTCTTGTTACAGATTTTGCACTGGTGGCGCTGCTGATGATCAAGTGCTACTCTTTCTGCTTCATCACCATGCACCCTATCTTCAGCAGCCGGATCGTCAGCGGATGCAGACGGGTCCTCCATTGATGAGTGGGCCACCGTGATCCCCTTGAGCTTGTTATGGCTTGACATGTGTCCTCCCAGAGCTTGGTGGCTCGGGAAACACTTCGCACAGAGATTGCACTTGTACCTCAGCCTTCCTTCCAAGTCCACCAACTTCATCTTCCTCCTCTTCCTCCTCACCACCGCAATGCTCTCAGAATTCTGACTGTCTGACAATTCATCCTCCATATTATTATGGTTTCCAATATTTTCCTCCTCCATTAATCCAAGCTTCAAGAAATTCTTCACCGTTGACTTTTCTTGACCAAACCCACCGCCATATGCATCATACCCTTTTTTATCGCTCCTCTTCACCTCAGATGATGCTCCCTTCCTCTTGTTTGTGGACCCCACGGTGGCAGGTGCAGTGTACCCGTGGTATGGAAGTCCACCCTCTCGGTCCTGATTGGTGGTGATCAAGAAATTGCTGTTGGTGACCTCACACATGGTCTCATCAGCTCCTCCTCCTTCCAATGGATTGGCCTGAGCTAGCATCAAAAGATCATGGACAGCTTCCTCCATCTGCTCTTCGTCTTCTTCAACAGTCCTGGGACTTCTCGAATCCAATCCGGAGACGGACTGGTCAGAGTCGGACTCAAATCCGGTGCTGCCGCTCTTCCTCCCTCTCCTTGCGGTTTGTGACCATTTAGGCAGAGTCTTGGACAGATTAAGAACCGAACTTTTCGACCTGAAAAACGTCTCATCAGACTCAATCTGATCCTCCTGAGCTTTCCTATTACTCTGATCAGGCACAGCATCTGACACAGTGGAAGAAGAGCTGTTTTTGGCGGTCGGAGGCGGCTGAATTCCCCTCCATTCTCTCTCTGGATGCGACCTCATATGCCCAAAAAGTGACTTCATCGACGGAAAATTCTTGCCGCAAACGTAACAAACAGGCTTCATATTGCTGATGCTGCTGCTATTTCCTCCAATCCCCAAAATCCCACCAGCATTCGAGCTTCCAACATTGGAATTTCTTGGTTTCGAGTTGTTGGGTTTTGATGAAATCGTGTTCTTGCGAGACTGATTAAACAATTCCTTGTTAGCTTGAACATGCATTCTCTTGTGGCCTCCGAGAGCCTTACCTGAGCTGAAACCCTTGAGGCAGACCTCGCAGAATCGGGTAAATTCCGGCAGCGGAGCAGCAGAAAAGTTTTGAGGGTTTTGGCCTAAAGGTTCCGGCTTTGCAACCTTGAGCTTCAGAAACAGTCCTCCATTGTTGCTCTCCATCTCTTCCGCGCTCAGTTTCTTTGGGGGCTTTCGCTCCTGATCGCTGGCAGCTAGTGGTGGAAACCTAGTCTCTTGGTGTTCGATATCCATGTGAGAAAAAAAAACCCAGCTTGGAAATTTAATGATAGTGTGAAACCGCAGCTAGTGAGGATTTTAATGATCGTCTAGATTTTCTTTTTTTTGGGTGCTTGGGGAATAAGAAAAGAAAGAAGATTTTGGTAGAAAGGAGCTAAAGCTAAGGAGCAGATGTGAGCATGCGGAACCCTACTAGGAGATTGAGATTATACACACACACACACACACACACACATATATATATATATATATATGCAAATATATTATAAATGAAAATATAAATGTGAAAAGGTTAGCTTAGCTGAGAAGCAAAATTAGGCTACTTTGATCATGATCTTGTTTTGGGGAATTATAAGTCCTGAAGATCCTGATCTCCCTATAATCAAGAACTCTAAGAGGGGAAAGAAAACAAGGAAACTCTATGGCATCCAGCTAATGATGTCATCAGATTAAAAAGGATTAGAGTTGAAAAATAGCTAAGGAAAGGAGCAGACAAACAAACCCAGAAGAGATAAGAGAGAGAGAGAGGGGGGAGAGAGAGAGAGGACTTCACAAATTCTGCGGCAGTTAGGCAGGCCTTCGGTCTTTCAAGTCACCAAATTGTTATAGAATGAGAATTATAATTGTTATATTTTTATAGATATTGTCAGGTTTTTTAATTAATATTATTTTGGGATTTAACTGCTGTTTGTATGAGTTTTGGTTCATGGGCAATTTGACTGTCAAAGCCTGTTAATCCGTTCTTTCAGAATCTCCAAATTCTCACGGAATTTTGAGTCACTGACCAAGAAGAGTATGAGAATTTTGAGAAGTTTGAAAACCATAAAACCACCGCACAAAAAATAGGGAACTGATAATCAAACTCTCTTAAGATTTTCTATAAAATCTTTGTTACTTTATATTATTGGTACAATATTTTATAATGTTAACACAAAATTAACTTTAAACTATGGATTGACAAAGAGGTCATAACAATCCTAATTTTGATAGAGATCCTTCAAAAAATAAGAAGAGTTCAATGAAAAATTAAAAATTAAACTCCATCCAAACGAAGGTTTAGGTAGTACTCTTTAGTGTGAAGTGTGCCACTCTCTTCTATCCCACTATGACTATTTAGGAGGCCCGCTTACAACGATAAACCATACCTGCCCCAAAGAGTAAGGGTTTTTGGAATTTCCTCCTTTAAATTTTTTTTTTCTAATTTTTGTCTTACATTATAATTTAATTTTAATCTTCCTTGGAAGGTACTCCGAGGCCAATCATCCGGAATTCTCTCAGTTTTCACAAAAATTTAGGATACAATCTTTTCTCATTATTCCTCCAACCCCAAAAATTAGCTTTTTGTCTTCTTTTTTTAAGGAGTTTTTTTTTTTCTCTTCTTATTTGTGTTACCTTTTATAAGTGTTAATCAATGATAAATTATTCCACTATTTTGTAATGAAAATTTTACTATACTTTGATGTACTTTATAAACTAAATTTTTAAACCTTTGCAACTTTAATTGTTGAATCTTTAACCAATAATATATCGATTAAAATTTTCAATACATAAGATATTCGTAGCATATATTAAAAAATCTCATTTTTCTATTTAGAATAAAATCCCGAAAGGATTTCCTACTCTATCAAGGAGAGGAAATTAAAAAAGGCCAAGAAGCCTAGCAAAGTGGGAACTCTCTTGGGTTAGTTTCAAAATCCGTGCTTATCACCATCCTTTAAGTTAATGCATGTCATTATTATCCCCTTTAATCCTCTTTCATGTGAATTTTCACACCTCGCACCACCATATTCACCAGATTTTTCAGTGTGCTCAAAACACATGATGGTACGCCAAATGTTAATATACAAGTGGTGAAAATTTTTTATTTTCAAACGTTTCTCCAATTGTATAATTACATGAGATGTACAACTCTCATGTTCCCACCATTCACCACTCACCACACATGACTAGAGTCCAAATAAGAAAGTGAGTAGAGGAGCAAATTTTCCAATTTATTTCTTCTATCCTTTTGTTTCCACGCGGTTTCAAACCTTTGAATGGTCTCCATGTTTCCAATTTTATGAGCAAGGAATTTAAATTCTCTACTTAATGCTTTGACGAAGGAAAATGTGTGAAGGAAGTCGTTACATTTGAGTCTTTGACCAGCAAGCTTTTTGTCTAATTTTTTTTTTAACAAACGATATTATCTACCGTACGAAAGAGAAGGGGTAGGCTAAACCTCACAATAGACAATAATTTGGCTCAAATTTGCCTTTGACAATAATCGAGCATAAGACATCTCACTTACAAGTGAAGAGGAACAACTAGATCGAAGAATACCATTATATTGTAGTACTAAGCAGCTGCCTTTCGTCTAACTATAGTTTAGCTTTTTATACTTGTTGTACAATGTACGAGGTTAAGAGCTCTAATTTTCCAATTCACATATTGTATTATCTGTTTGTATTAAAATATCATATTGTGTGTCAAAAAGAAAATCATTACTTATGTTTACAATTTGTTTGTTTGAAGGGCAACTAATTAATTAAGGTAAAATATGTATTACCACGTTATGAAAGGTAAAAAGTCTCCGTTAAAATGTATTTCCTAAGCCAATAGTTTTATTTCTAGTTGATTAAGAAAGCAAGTAATAATCATATTTGAAAGTAAAAAATGCAGGACTTGGCATAGCCAAAGTTGACTAGGATAATGCACTGCCTCATCCCACTTGGTTACCTCTCTTTATAATTTTGTTACAATATATTTTACTCTAAGGAGAGGGGGATTAGGCTAGATCAGCCATTAATTAGATATCAAATTTAACTTAATTACAATACTCCCTCGCTATCTATGTAAGTCAAATATGAAACATTTTACTTATAAATAAAGAGAAATATCACTAAATTATAGTATTAGTTGATCCTCTCCTTGCAATTTAGATTAGGTTAAAATATCACTCAATAAATTTGAGATAGTGGCGTGATTCTTTTTTTTTTTCCTTTTGTGTTTAACATTCCCTTGGATGATGATTAAAAATGGATAGAAACCCAAGATAAAAAATAATTCTAACTAGCTCAAAAGTCAATTGTAGTGATCTGCGTCCGTTAGGTGTTGTAGGGGTCGTTTGGAATTGAAAGTGCTTTTGAAATGACTGAAAATCATTTTTATTAAAATGTTTTTAAAACCAATATTTAGTAAAAATCCAAGTAGATAATAAAAAAACTCTTTAAGTGCTTTCTTAAACAATCACATATCTGGTACTTCTTCCAAAATGCATTTAGAGTACTTTTGGAACCCAAAATAAATTTCACCAAAAACGCATTCAATCATTTTAAAAGCACTTTCAAACAAGCTCGTAAACATTGCATAATGTCCAATACATATTTAATCCTAACCGTGCTTTTCAATCCACCTTTAAATTTTGGAAATTACAACCAAGTTTTGTCCTCCTACACACTTATTTAATCCTAACCGTGTTTTCTATTTGATTTATTCAATCCGATATCAGGAATATGTGTGAGGGCTGTGTAGAACGCTAAAGACTGAAAATAAGCTCCCTTAGATTTTAGACTGCAGTTCCAAGAATTATTATTGTTACATTGAATATCAAGAACTATCAAAGATCGTCACTGCAATGGAATCCTACTAATCCAAAGTGAAGGCAAATTCAACAGATGTTACAAAGAGCTGCCCCCTTTCACCCCTTCCGCAATTTTTTTCTGCGGATGGGGCATACTGAGGGGTAACCTTACCAAAGAAAAATGAAAACCAAACTAGGTTAAATACCGGCAACGATGACTACTACAACAAGGCATACAAGAGAGGAAAATGGTGCCTACGAAACAAGTTGCCTATCTAACGAACATGGAGGCTATTGCTGTGTAGGATTGTAGGAAGATTTATATTCCAGCAGTTCGGTCCTGTATCTCTCCTTGTCTTTCATCCCTTTATCCTGATAAACCTGCACCGCAGCACTGGAGTGTTATGATGAACACTTCAAGAAGACTTCCAATATGCCGCAAGTTAGAAGTGTTGAGAATCAACACAAAAGGAGATGAAAATAGTAATTCTACCCAAGCATGTGAAACTTCTTCTCAAACCTTAGATCTATACCGGAACACACATATACGACGATGAAATTAGCTTGGGACGTTACGGGCGAAAAAGGACTAACTGAAGAAAAAAAAAAAATTGTCACCAACTCAGTATACCTGTTTCTCGGCCTCTGTGAGATTGTTCCATAGATACCCAATTTTTTTGCTGATGGCTCTCTCTTGCCCATAGTACAAAGGTTTCAATCTGGCATAATTCTCAGCGAAGAAGAAATTGTAACCGCTCCTGTTTGACTTGGGCCGAAAGGGATCACGTAATGCCAACCTGGATCTCTTTCGGTTCTGTCGAGTAGGCATGTCCGAAAAACTCTGAGAAACATATGTAGATGTAGGAGCATGATACAAGACACCTTTCAGTTCATCAGAACCCAAGTTGACAGTAGCCAGATATCCACTGTCAAATTTCCCATCAATGGTTCCCATGATTGAACAACCAAGCTGCACTTCTGTGCTTTCTGTACATAAGATAGAGAAAACATATCCATATTGCAATTAATTCATGGCCTTGTAGATCAAATAACTAGATGCTATCAATAAGGTCAAGTAACTAGGAAATAATGATACTGAATAAGAAAGACGAAAGTAAAAGCCTCATAGCAAGTCATAAAGTTACAAGATGGATTCCCTAATAAAATTTACAATGTGGTTCATCCATATTTCTTAATAGAAGTTCCTATGTTGTTTATCTTCTTCATTGCAACTTTCCCGAAGATATCTCAAAAGGGCCATCAGAAAAGCTTGACCACTAGCAAGGAATTTTTTTTATTCACCTATCTAACTTTAAGAAGTTACAGAATTGTTTCATACGATTTCTTCTGAGAATTGTCAGCAGGAGGTATACTCTACAATTGCAAATAAAAGGTTTTCTGGAAACTTGCAGTTTAATGTAGACACCAAGGAGAAAACATACTCATAGTTATATGGTTCTACTTCTACAACTAGTTTGGCGCAACCACTATTAGAACCATAACATCGAGATGGAGGTTAAGCCTACCCTGACCTGGAAATTGGTTTGTACTTGCACCTTCCTCCATGGTGGCTGACCCATTGAAAAGGTTCTTGCTTAGAGGCTCTGGCAAAAAGGAAACAAGAAAACCATATATTTTTCCAATCAATAAAATAAATGAAATAACATACAAAATCAACAAGGACCCCTGTCTTCAATTACCAAGCACTGGTATGCTATAAACTTCTTTGTGGAAATAATAGGCCTGCTCAAAATGATACAGCAAAGACAAGTAGTACTTCCGTAAGACAAACGAAGCACTGGTAATTGTTGTTGGGAAATTGAAGGCCGCGATCACTTCCTTCCATTTGCGATCTCTAATCACCTGTAACCAGTTTAAGAAAATCTAAAGTGAAATAAAATTCAAAACATAAAAAAGGAACTTTGGAATGGCTCCACGAAATAAGGGAGAAAATAAAAGGATGAAGATTAACATAGGCAATAAGTTTAACTCAGCTTAAGAATCTCATATAAACAACCATTAAACAGAAAAGCAAAATGAACGAACCTTTTCAAGCCCATCACGACATGTGACTTCTACAAAAAGGAGATGTAGATCCAGAGTTTTTCCTCCTACAGTAGGAATCCTGCACAAAGAGCATTAATCTTATCCTCATGGACTTTCCGTTTTTTCTGTACTCTACACTAAATTTTCATGAACTCAAGGACTCAGAAATATGATCCTATAGGACAGATCCTGTTCAAGTCAGGCCGTCGTAACTAGGTTTTCATCAATGCCTAAAAACTATGAAAGGAAATAAGTTATACAATCAGCACAGCAGTTTAGGAACGGTTTCTGATGCACAAAAGGAATCATGGCATGACAAAGTCCACATTCATAAACAGCTTATTTCTGCACGCCTTAGACTGTATCCTTCAAACTACCCTACTTCAATACTAATGAAGGAATACCTTCAGACATCTCATAAAATGACCCAGTTTCAGGATTTCACCAACCATCACTGATAACATTTCCTAGTTACCAAAAAAGCCTATTTATGCTTCTGTAAGGTATCAAAACCAAATGCAAATTCACAAGGATAAGCAATAAACTAAGCAATTGAAGACGCATTAATATCGCAACATGGAAACTAGGTTTCCATGACCACAAAATAAGAATGAAGAAATATAAGGTTATAACAGCTAAAAAATACCAACATCAAAAGATAGCATACTAAAATAAATTAGCAATTCTTAAATCCTCAAAAAGGAAACAGCCCTAATTTCCCCACGACATGGTGCTGTTTTTGGTGTAGTAATGCTGCATACATGGAAAATTTCAGCTCAAAAGTAGACATCCAAGAAAATCAAATCCCCATTTATTAAAGTTATGAAAAGGAAACGACGACTAATGAAGATTTGGGAAATTCCAATTTTCTTGAATGAAGCATCTCTCGAGAATGACAAACTCAGATCTTGGTAAGAAACAATAATCTTACTAATGGCAAAGAAAAAAGAAGGATAACATGAGCCAGTATAATAGGTGGTCTGTGGAAATGATGAATTGCATTGCGATAAATCTCGGGATTGCTCATTGTCCACCATCCCTAACTCAAACTCAAATAGAGAGAGGCACCGCAGGGGATATAAATTTGATATCAGCATTCTACTGAACTTCTAGAATCCCAAAAAAAAAATATCCTGAATTTGCTAAAAATACCCGAAACAATGTGTACAACGCAGTCCAAATTTTTCAGTCAGTCGCCATTCAATCAATTCAAACCGAGGAATAGGCAACATAGTTTTGATTAAAACCAGTCAACTGAAGTATGCAACATGCAAAAACAATGTAAGTATATCAAGTGAGGCAAGACAACAACAATAAAGCCTTATCTCACTTAGCGGGGTCGGTTATATGAATCCTAGAACGCCACGCTCAGTTTTGTCTCATGTCTTCCGTTATATCCAAGTAGTCCAAGTGAGGCAATGAAAAGATAAAAACACGACACAAATATATAATTTTCCAATTATTCCAACATATTAAGACCCAAAATAGCAAAACAAAAACAACCCAATTCATCAAACAGCCCAACAAAACGAAATCTAAGTTGTAAGAAAAACGAACCGAGCCAAATTACACGAATTGATCAAACCAGTCAACTGAAGTAGCAACATGCAAATTCAATGTCAATACAAACATATAATTTTCCAATTCTGCCAACATATAAAGACCCAAAGCAGCAAAACAAACACAACCCAATTCACCAAACGACCCAAATATACAAAATCAAAGCTTTCACAAAAGGGACAAAACCCAAAATGTACATGAATTTGGTTCTGAACGAATCGTGAAACTCCTTCAGCTTTTCCAAGAAAAGGTCGGAGCTTTGAACGACTTCCTCATACGTTGCTGTGGGTGAAGGATAAGCCTTTGGAGCGGAGGCGGGGGATGAGAGAGAAGACCCATTGGCGGGGAGAGAGAGGAGTCGTTGCTGGTGAGCTGAAGTGGCTGAGGAAGAAGAAGGCTTGTCCTTTTCTGTAATTTTTGGTGTTGGGACCTCAGACATTTTTTCAGAGAGAAAAAAGGGAGGGTAGAGATTTGACGGATGGATTAAGATGCTAGATTACCAGAAGGCAACGGACCAGCCTTTTATTTTAGTCAAATTATATGATTATATAAAGATATAGGAACCTGTTCCTTTTTGTAGGGATCCGAAGGATCAAGTAATTATGACGGTTCAGCGTATATCGTACGTTTAGTTTTCGTTGGATACTATTTATTTTAAATTTAAAATTTAAAATTTAAAATAATTTATGATCATATGATATACGATGAATGACCGTAATTACTTAATCCCTTAGATCCTACAAAGAGAATCCAACGGGAATCCTTTTCCTAAGATATTGGATATGACTAGGCCCTAGAATACTTTCCTAATAATTAAAGATTGCAACTTTATTTATTGGTTGTCGATACAAACGATAATATAAATTACTTCAAAATTTATGATAAGAAAATTTAAACTTGTATTTACACAAGAGTGGAGACAAATGGATATAAAGATTGGAAATCAAAAGCTTAGATTTTAAATAAAATGTTTTTAACTAACTGAACTAGCATGTAGAGAAATATGTTGAGTGTTGATGAAGAATTGGGATGGGCTGATGGTTTTGGTAAAACACATACTTGGGAAGGCAAAGCCATGATTGGTACTTTTGTTGGCTAAAATTAATAAGATTCTGTAAATTTTGGACCCTTTCCTTTTACTCCTTTTTCTGTTAATAAAAGTAGAAATATGAAGAGCATATTAAGTTCCAAGGGTAAAAGAGAAAGAAGATGTAGTATAGAATGTAATTTTTATGAGTAAATGTTACATATCATAATAGAAATATGGCTTACTAATACGAAGTGTTATAAACGTGGTATGAAAAATGTGATAAGAGTAGCATTTTTGATGAAATGATAAGGATTTCATCATAATATAAATTGTGCTAAAGTTCCAAAAATTAGATGATTACATTCATGAAATGTTTAAGTTCATCGATTTTGCCTAAATTTAGTAGATTTCTGTATTTTTTTCTAGCTTTTAATTTGAGTGAAGAAACCATGCTTAGGTTGGCTTAAACACGTAAATCAGGTCATTTAGTCAAGTGATAGCTCATTTTCATCCAAATTCAATCCTCATTTCTCATAAATGAAAATAGTTAAAAATATATTTTTGTCGATAAAAAAACATATCCATAATCAAATTAACTTTGTTGCATCACCATATGAAGAGTATCCGAAAAGGGTAAAATGCGGCTTGACCCCTTAAATTATTACTTTAGTTGAAATTGACCCCTTAAACTAATTTTTTGGTAAATTAACTCCCTGAACTATTTAAAATCAGTCAATTAACCCTTTGTTGTTAGATTTCGTCCGCTATTCCGTCAAATTCAAGGGCAAATTAATATTTTTTTATCATCAATTCTTCCTTGTCAGTTATAACAACCAATAAAATAATGGTATGTGGACACAGAATAATTCAAAAACTCATAGTATAATAAGAAACATAAAGAAACCAAACGTTTGCATAACGAACCATTTATTATGTGTCCACATGTCATAATTTTATTGGTAGTTACAAGTGACATGTAAGAATTGATGACAAAAAGATTAATTTGCCCTTGAATTTGACAGAATAATGGACAAAATCTAACGACAAGAGGTTAATTGGCTGATTTTAAATAATTTAGGAGGTTAATTTACCAAAAAAATCGTTCATGGGTCAAACAACAATTTACCCGAAAAAGAATGGTACTCCAAAACTATGAAATAAGGAATGTCCCAAATTCATCATAGTTGTTGATGCCTCCAAGGAGGAGGAGGAGGGGGGGGGGGGGGGGGGGGGGGGGGGGGGGGGGGGGGGGGGGGGGGGGGGGGGTGTTGAGGTGAGCGGGGGTGGTTTCAGTTTAAAGATTTGAAGGAGTGCATTGCATGATGGATTTGGATACCCTTGAGATCATGAAATAATAGCAAGTAATAAATTCCAAATTCCGACAAAACAAATGCATTCAGACTCAAAACGAAGAACTTAATTGGCTAGTCCTGCCTCTAGTGTTGTTACTTGGAAGAAACACGAAACAAAAAAATTAAAAAAAAACAAAGAAAAGCATAAGAACTTCCCAAACTAGCGATTCATTGATAAGCTATACAAATTACAAACAAGAGAGAGACCTCACAACAACATGATATGGATTCAACTCAAATTTAAATTCAAAACGATAATATTTATTCAAAGAACTTGGGATCATAGCCATTGCTAGAGGTGGCCAAGATGTAGTAAGCTACGATGTGACCGATAGAACCCCAAGCCAAAACATCCACAATGTTGAACCCAACAGGGTCATTAGACTTGAGGAGGCTCACATACTCCTTAGCCCTAGTGTCCCCAGCCTCAAAGTGCGTCACCCCGTTCTGCTCCGGCAACCCTTGCTTGGCCACATTCTCTCTCTGGAAGTTGAAGAAAACAAACCTCCCAAGGAAGAGAGAGAGTCCGGTGCTCAGGCTGATGACCAGTGATGGGTTCAGCTCAGCTTTGACGACGCATGAACATCTCCTGGTGCTGGGTGCATGCAAACTCAGCTTGGTGGGAGGGGAGGACCTGGTGAGGGGTCTGAGGCCTTGGAAGGAGATTTGGGTTGGTGATAGGGTTTGGTGGTGCCCTGTGGCTGTTGAGGAGATGGACGGGGCTGAGAACAGGGCGGAGGAGGTGGCTGCCATTATTGGTTGTGGAGGAGGAGGGTGTTGGGCTGTGGAAGTTTGATGAAAAGTGGAGGTTGGTTTTGTGGAGGAGATGAGATTGTAGAGTAGTGGAGAAAGGGGTGATATATCTCTACTGGTTCTGTGGAGGTTGTGAGGATGGGAATGTGGGAGGGAAAGATTTTGGATGGTGAGTTGGCACTGGTTTATTGGTTCCTTTTGGATTACAGATTTTTGGATGGTGAGTCAGCTTGTAAATTTAGGACTGCTGCTGCATAGACTAAGAAAAAATATCTACTTTTAGATCATATGAGGTGTTAATATGGGGAAATCATTTTCTCCTCTTGAATATTTCTGTTTATTTTTGTATGTTGATTCTATTTTGATTTGTTCAATATAAAGATCATAAATAAAGACGATATTGTGTATGAAGAGAAAAAAATGTGTATAAAATCACTTCAAATATCAATAATGTCGATAAATCGAATCATTGTGCGCTTGGTTAACAGCCTATTGACATAATGTCAGCAGACCATTTTCCAATTGACATAATATCTACCAATATCAAATTTGCGTTATTTTTCTCGTTCATCAAATACTCTCCTTTTTTTTTTTTTTTTTTTTTTTTGTACATCGATATTTTACACTAGGAAAGGAGAGTTCACCTGAACCACGCAATAGACAACCTAATTTAGTATCGAATTCGTTTAAGGAGCTAATCAAGAAATCATTTTCCAAGATAATAGGGTTCTATATTTGATAAAAGAAATAGAACCCACAAAGAGAAGGCAAGGGAACAAAAGTATACTTGTTTAGTAGAATTATTACAGTAAGTTTTACTCTATATCAAACTCATCACTTGGGATCCAAGAATCCAACAAGGTGATTGGTAGCTTCTTTCCCACATAACAAGTCCCACATTGAGGTAAAATTTCAAAAACGCAAAACAGCCAATGTCTTTCGCCCTAAGACACACCGGTTCTTCCCCATTTGTTTCGACCACCATTGCCTTAGCCTTCTGTACATTCCTCCCTTTTACACACTTTCTATGGGGAGAAAAGGACGGAACACCAACAACAAAGCTACTATTGCACATAATACTACATTTACATCCACAACCTCTTCCCACTGCGAGAAAAACGTTACTAGGCTCTGCAATCGCACTGAGGAATGAGCAGCTCCAACACACTCATTCGCAGTTTGCTTATTTTAGTCGGTCAAATAAAAGAGTCAAGGTAAGCGTAGTTCCGGCTCCGGCCATACTCAAGAAGACTACCGTATGTACGATCCCACACTCCAATAAAAAGTGACTCCGTGTCCGGACTGAATGATATGCCAGATATCTCGCCAAAGAAATCAATTTCCTGTTCCTTCTCGTACCCACTTTTCACATCATAGACGTGCACAAAATCTGCTGGCTCTGCCATCATCATATGCTGACCATCAGAAGTATACCGGATTGACCGAATAGCTCCAAGGTTCCCCTTCAAAACAGCAACTGACTTGGAAAGGTTTCGAACATCCCAAATCCGGCAGGTTTTGTCCTGGTTCCCAGTAGCAAAGGTCATACCATCGGGATGCCATGCTGATGCAAAGGAGAAATCCAAGTGCCCACTTAAAGACATCACCGTCTGCAAAAGAAACTCATACAAATCATCACACACTTCCTTTCCTAGCTCAAGGAATAAACAGGGAATAAACATTACGAGAAAGTCAATTGACAAAGTCTGAGATATATACCTTTCCAGTTTGAGAGTTTACCAAAATCCCTTCTGGATTGTCTCCAACAATCACAAGAAGTTTACCATCAGGACTCAAAGAAGTATGCTGCAAACAAAGCATAGAGGTGCATCGAAGTTTAGTAAAACTGACTAAAGAAAGCATTTAAGTGATTGGATTTCCACATGTGAAACGTGACCCAATGAAAAATCAGCATTGGATGGAATGAGGTAGTTTGCAAATTTGCAGTTGAAAAATAGCTGCCAACTATCATATATCACTTGCAGGTCCAAAAAAATAGAACCCTCCATGAAGGAAATGTCAGCAAATGTAATGAGATAAACATCCAGTCATTTCCAAAAAAGCTGAAGGAGACTCACATTCACAGGCCAAGGATACCGGAAATGCTTAGTAAGCTGAAATTTCTCCATGTCAAAGTCTCTGACTCCACAGTCATTATTAGAGGCTGTAAAGTGAACTGCCCCACTGCGAAATTCAAGGGGACTATATCAGTTATAGGTTCATGATTGGAATTTGGAAATGAGAAATCCCAACCTCAAGAAAAAACCAAGTACCTGGGACTGTCATAAATCTCAACAGCATTTGTTATGGCATTATCATCATAAGTTGTCCTCGAGCAAAAGCTAACTCCTGGACGATCAAGATGCTGCAGAGCAGTCAAAGATAAGATAAATCTGTCAGCATTGAGCGTTTCTCTTTATTAGTTCTTCAAAGAGAGAAAAATGAAACTCAAAGGGATCTTGTAGAGACAGCCGAATGACAGAATGCTTATACAGGATGTAGTCAAGTATCAAAGGTTTAATACACACTGATACCACAACATTCAAAGTTAAAACTTAAAAGTCATCCAGAAGATCCATCTGGTATGAAGTAGCACCCATGTAGCTAAAGCAAAGGATAAATAACATGTGTGTTTCGGTAGCACCCCTACGGTGCAAGTGAACCATGTACAAGGTCACAACTGATAAGCGCAAACCAAGCAATGTTGACAACATAAGCACAAGAGAAGTGCAATAAATGCTCATTCATTTATTTTCTTACTTAGTAAACTCAATTATTTGCAACTCACCTTGCAAATAAGTTCACCCTGGAATCCTCCAGCAACCAGCAACTTATCTTTTACAGCAAGAGTACTAACTTGAGTCTGTGTAAACCCCTCCAAGAGACTTCCAGGATGTTTCTACATGGAAAGAATAGAAATATCGGTTTCCAATGAAGACTTGGTTGTCGAACAAAAGTTATCTAAAAACGCTTACCTCCGATGGTGTCACATGTCCAGAAACGTTGAGAACCTCAGACTTTGTGCAACTTAAGGAAGACCAATGAACAATGGAAAAATGTGACATCAGATAGACATCATGCTTGGAAGTAGCCCAGACCAAGTTACGCAACTGCATTACCAAGCAAAGATAAAACATCTCAGTCAAATAAGAGACATCAAAGGGCTACATTATAATTCAGTGTCTGTCAAATTGTTTAAGGGCATTGCATGCAAAAGTTGACCCCAAGTTATAAGTCAAGTTAGCAAATATAAGTCCTATCAGTTCTATGATATGCGAGTGAGAAAATTTCATCCAAAGTTCACATGCGCAGAAAATAGCCAATAAGAGCAAAAGGATAGCTCGCACCCAGCACACCTGAAAATGAAGAATGGTTGATTTCACCGATCTAGCATTTCGTCTGAACTCATAATATACAGATCCTTTCTTTGTATCTTTGCAATCCTATTTACCGAGGAGGAAAAAAATCATCATCAAGTTACTCTTCTAAGTTGAAATTGACACTTCAGCATCAATTAAAAATTTGGATAACGAATAAAAAATGTGGAAAAACAGTAGTTATTTACCTTCCCTGATCCTTCTCCAGAATTAGGGATATTCTCATAATTCTTGTATTGTTCTAACCTAGTCTGTCGGTATTTCTCTCTAGTAATGCTAAGTCTATCCCAAGGAATACCTTGGATGTCTTTTCCTTTTCTTGCTTGAGCAGCAGTTGTATCAGCTACTTTACTATTCTGCATGAGATTCATACATTAGTCCCAGCTATATACAGAACTAACTACAGTGATAATGAAATGTGAAATGCTCATACAAACTTTGAGTTATTTGAATGCCCAAAAGCCATATCATAAAATAGTGTTAGACATGAATAGTTTCTTGAAGCTGTGAATATTTGACATATCTAGTAAGACATGTTAGTATATCACAAACCAAGTAGTCATATTCATCAACATCGGAATCTGAGCCGCCCATTTCTCTACCATGAAACTCGTCATCCATATCATCATCTACATCTTCCATTTCGTATTCATCCTCCACATAACCAGCGTATTGGGACATATTCTTCCCAACAATGCCACAACTAGCACCAACAAAGATTCAAGCCAGTTACTTAAGAATCAGCATACAAAACAATACCAACGATCAACGTATATTGCAAACACCAAGATGTGAACAGGTCGAAATTCTAACTCACTAAATAAGATAATTAAATAACAAAACAAAAAAGGTATAAACTACTCATGTTGTTGTGTCATTGCTAACTATGAACATATATTAAGATAAAACATGAAAATGAAATTCGTGATATACCCGTGGTTGGAGCAACTTTTTTGAAGGAATATGTTTAATTAACAAGTGCATTAGGCAATAAAAATTAGAAACTAATATAAACTCCAAAAACCCGATTAAAATAAAAGGCAGAGAAGAAAAGAATCAGGAAAACCATAACAACTAGACCGATGTTCACACAATAAGAATGAAGAATGAAAACAACTAGGTCGAGCACGTGCTCGACTACAATATATATGTCACTGAGTAGCCATGCTTGGAAATTCAATATCATAAAACGCCGCAGTTGTAGCAATACAAGTTTTGCCCCAAAATGAAGCTGCAAAGGGCCATAACTTCGCTATCAAAGCAAACAGTCAAGCACCCAACCATGCATTCCTTTCGTAATCTTTGAGAGGATTAAATCAGATATGATGACACCATAAAAAATAGCTCATAGGAGAACATACCAGCGTAACCAAATTATTCTTAACACCTAAAAATTAAAACTTTAATTTTGGCAGCATCAATCGGTAAAGTATAATCATAGGAAAATGCTTCCTCGTATAAAAGGGTTCAATTTGACAAAGTTTTGCTCATTATTTACCTTTTCCCTTTATTCCCCTCACCAACATTGCACGTAAAATGCAAATGAAACTCATAATTTTCCAGAGTTGTAGCAACTTGACTACGGGCATATTTTTAATTTACACATACATTAGACAATACAAAAATTACAAATAAAAACCAAAACACTAATTGGAATTAAAAGAGGTGAAAAATCCCACTTTGTATGTGCTCAGAAATCAAACAAGAACATACACTAAT